CCCCCCCGTGCCGTATCCTTATTTGCTAGTACATAATGGCCTGCTTTGCCTTCATCCTGACTGCGTTCTGCCGGAGTGTGTGTGTGCTTGTGTGCGCAAGCGGCTGTCCTGCCCTGGGCTGGGCAATCACCTTTGGACCGGAAGTACCCCCCCCCCCTCCTCCTTTTCCCCGCCTTTTACTCGGACTCCTGCGCCGGAGATGCACACTCGGACTTGTCTTCACGGTCGGTGCATCGCTGGACTGGACGGGTCGCTGGACGGACTGCGCGAGCTCAGCTCTCTACCAGCATGCTGAGCACCTGTGCAGCCCACCTGCGCGATGAGGATGAGGAGTTTCTCGAGGGTCGCCGGGCTGCCTCACATTAAAAGGCTTTCCAATCGAAAGAGTTATCGCGGGCGTATCATCTTTCCGTTTTCGGGTTTCCGCGGAGATGGTCCAGCTGCCGGGCCGAATGCGATCTGCCGCCGGGGCCCCGCCCCGCCAAACCAGTCTGGTTTAATGGCGCCAAAGTGGGACTAGGGCTGCCCGCGATGGGTTCCCGATCGGGTGAGCAGGGTCCCCCTCCGCGCGAGATGGCGTGAAGCTGAGTCGCGCGTCATGGAAACCCGTTTTGTCCTAATGTATCGAACAAGTGGGAGAGAGAGAGACGAAGAGAGCGTAGGATTCGCGCGAGAGTAAAGAGTTAGGGGGGGGGGAGAAAGAGGATCCGCGGTGCGGGCGCGCGTCGGGTCGGACCCCGCGGGGTCAGCGCGCGATCCGCGCGATGCGATACCCTTATCTCCCGGAGATCGCCGACGGTGATCACCGCGACGGTAAAAGTAAAGAGAAAAAAAAAAAAGAAAACACTTTTAAAAAAATAATCAAAACTGAAATGCCCCCCCCCTTTTTCCCCCAGCAAATCACTCTTATCCCCACTGTCCGCCATATCGCTTGAGCTCTAATCGTTGTTCTGCCTTGCCCTGCAGGTGGTGATCGTGGGGAACGGCGCGGTCGGCAAGTCCAGCATGATCCAGCGCTACTGCAAAGGCACCTTCACCAAGGACTACAAGAAGACCATCGGCGTGGACTTCCTCGAGCGCCAGATAGAGTGCGTATACTGTATATCATAGTGTGCTGTGCGCGACTCTTTTGTGTTTATGACTGGGCGCGGGCGGCGAGTGTTCGTTTATGGGCCCCGTAAAAAAAAAACGACACGCTCTGGGTGTTGTGCGGGACCGCCTGTGAGGTAGGCCCGCCCGCCCAGCCCCCGTGCTCGACGGCGCTGCCTACACCCCGGGCGCCTCACCTCCATCCACCTCTCCTCGCAGGGTCCGCGTCCGCCGCCGCCCGCGGTCAGGTCGTCAACCTCTGGTGGCGACACAATCGTCGACATCGATGTGCCGTCCGTGCACTTCGGCTCGGACCGGGCCCACGCAACCCCGCCGCCCCGCCCGGCCCCGCCCCGCCCGCACGAAATGTGCAACATTATGTCGCGGCCTGTCCCCGCCCGCCTTCCCCCCCTCCCCGCCTCCAGCTCAATGACAAGGTTTATGTTCCTTCGCGGCGTTTGAACGCGGCTATGTTACGTTAGAGCGCCGTACATAAAAGTGGAGCTGCGTTACGTGGAGGACGATGTGCCACGCGCCGGCCCGCTCTCCTCCTCCTCCTCCCGTTCCCGGGCCTCGTGTGCTCGTGGTCGCCCATTCGCCGCGTCGCGATAGAGGATGAGCCCGTCACCTCCCTTCTCCCCGGGGGCGGCGGCGGCGTGCTCGCTGTGGAACTTCCCCTTAGCGGTCACTTCCGGGGTCGCGGTCGATGAGGTCAGTGTCCCGGACAAGGTCACTGCGGTGGCGCTTGCGCGCCCGACCCACGCTGCCAACCCCCCAACCCCCGCCGCGGCTGACCAACCTCGCCCTCTGCTGGCTGCCGCGCCGATATTCGTCATGAACTTCCCCATGACCCTCGAGTTCAAGTTGGTGGTAGGGCGAACA